GGAGCACTGGGTGTTATGCACAAACAATGAATCATGGAACACTACATCAAAAACTAATGATGTAATGTATGGTGACTAACATAACAATAAAAAAATTAAAAAAAAATTAAGGCGTGAAGGACCTGCAATTCTTTCAAGACCAAAAAATCTTTTTTTGGTATTTTCTAAATGTAGTAAAATATATAAAATGTGAAATTTAGCATTTCAACTTTTTCTTTTCTTTCTTTTTTTTTTTTAGGTAGGCTCCACACCCAACATGGGGCTTGAACTCATGACCCTGATATTGATAGTCACGTGCTCTACCGACTGGGCCAGCCAGGCACCCTCCCCCCTTTTTAACCATTTTTTTTAGGTGAACAGTTCAATGGCATTAATTACATTCACTACATTGTACAAACATGACCTCTATTTTCAGAATTTTTTCATGACTCCAGACAGAAACTCTATAATCATTAAGCAATAACTCCCGACTCCCTCTTTCCTCAGCCACCAGTAATATCTGATCTGCTTTCTGTCTATGAATTTGCCTACTCAAGGTACTCCATATCCGTGGAATAATACAATATTTGTCCTTCTGTGTCTGGTGTATTTCACTGAGCATAATACACTGAGTAAGGTCCACGCATGTTGTGGCATGTGTCAGAATACCCTTTGTTTGAATGGCCAAATAACATTCCATCGTCTGTGTAGACCACATTTTGATTATCCACTCAGGCCAATGGATATTTAGGTTGTTTCCATCTTTGGCTATGGTGAATAATGCTGCCCTGAGCATTGGTGTACAGGTATCTGTGCAAGTCCCTGCTTTCAATTCCTTTGGTTATATACGTAGGAATGGAACTGCTGGATCATATGATAATTCTATGTTTAGCATTTTGAGGAACCAAACTCCTTCCTCTTCATGTTTATTTTCTTTTTGAGGTGGAATTCACAAAGCATACAATGAACCATTTTTAAAGTGTAGGATTCGGTGGTATTTAATGCATTCACAATGTTGTGTAACCATCACCTCTCTTTTTTTTT